TTGAAATTCTCAAAAGTCGAAACTCTCAAACATCTTGAGCACATCTGCACCTCAACATAATCTAACAAAACACCTTCTGCTGGCACACAACACATCCAGAGCACCTATCATAACATCTAACCCTGAGAACTGTGCATCTTCTTCCAGAAGACAGCTGGAGGAAAAACAGACAGCTTATTTCTTTTGGTCAGCTGGTTCACTTGAGTATTACGACCAGGTGCTCAAACAAAAAACACCTTCAACATAAAGCCCCCCCGCCCCTCCCCATGTCGATTTACTTCCGAGATAAATAAATAAAGAAACACGTGCATGTGCTCTTCTCATGATAGTAGCAGAGAGAGTGTGGTGGGCTCTGGAACATTCTGTTTCTGTTTGCTCCACACGTTTACATATTTACCATTAAGCACCGTGGCAAAACTGGGCATGTGTTTGGCCTGGCATGTGCAACCAAACAGAGGGAAAGAGCAAACCAAGAGGGAAATGGAAAGCAAGAGAGAGCAGAAGTTGGCTTTGTCTTGCATAAAAACAGATGCAGTAGCTGCAGTACCAAAAAACATTTCCAAGACAGGAGGTCTAATCCCGCTGACCTCTTCTCTCTCTCACTCTTTACGCCCTTGAGCGGTTGTTTGCTGCTGCAGTTGTTCTGTTGCGGTAGACACTACAGCAGTTTCTCTACTTGCCATCTCTAATTGCTCTCTAAGTGTCACATTATACATTTTGTATTAAATATTTTTTCTCCCTGAGGTCCACTTACTATATTAGTAACAGTATAATTTTGTGTTTTTAATCATTTACAACCCTTTCTCTGACACTTAAGGCTTGTTCACACCAAAGATGATAACTACAACAACATCTACACATTTTTTATAATAAATCTGATTCTAATTTTTTTTCTCCAGCCAGTCAGAATCCATTCCATTTTAAAGAGCCAAGACATTTTAGCAGCAGACAACATAACTGCAGTGCGTGTTTATAATAAGCAGAATGTTAACATCCTCTATTGTTATCATTAAAGTAATCATTCTTGGTCTGAATGATTCTTTACATGATGTGATATGATTCCAGTGGCAAGCAATTTGTCTGTCCACACCAGCCTTGGCAAAATCAATCACAAATCACAGAACAGGTCATTTCACACTTTCCCTCATAATTTACCCGGGGTTAAAGGGATAGTTCACCCAAAAATGAAAATTACCCCATGATTTACTCACCCTCAAGCCATCCTAGGTGTATATGACATTCTTCTTTCAGACGAATACAATCAGAGTTACATTAAATAATGTCCAGGCTATTCCATGCTTTATAATGGGATTGGATGGTAGCCCAAAATTTGAAGTTCAAAAAATTGCACCCATCCATTATAAAAGAAGTCCACACGGCTCCGGGGGGTTAATAAAGGCCTTCTGAAGCGACGCGATGCATTTGCGTAAGAAAAATATAGATATTTACAACTTTATAAACCTTAATCTCTAGCTTCCGCTAACTGTCGTATGCTCGTTCATGAGAGTGGCATCCAGCAGATGACGTAAGACGTAGCATAAGCTCGGGTGAGAATATGCTAGTCTCGCAAGAAACAAGTTTTGTTTACAGCAAAGGAAAACCAGTGTCCTCTTGGCTTATATCGAAATCCTCTGACATTTTTCTAAATAAATAAATACTATGGAAATCAATGGCTACCGTCAACTGTTTGTTTACCAGCATTTTTCAAAGTATCTTCTTTCATGTTTAATGAAGGGTGAGTCAACTATGACAATTTTCATTTTTTTGGGTGAACTCTCCCTTTCACGTTCTTATTTGCATATTTGTAGTGCCGGTGTCATTCATTGGATGAATGCAGCATGTGATCTGTTTAAATTGGATTTGAGAGAGGAACAGACGTGATCCCCATCTTCATCCACCATGAAGCTCGGACCCTGTGCACAAATTCAAAAATTGCTGCGAACAGGTGCGTTATGTCAGCTTTGGTTGTGAAATGCCAGGCTCTTGTGTGTCTTGTGAAAGATTGCGTCATGCTAAAGTTTGGGCATAATCTTTTAAAGCTTAATATTTTGAATGACTGAGCGGGATCATTTTCAGCAATTAAACGTTTTAATCTGTTCTTCGCATAATATTGCATGGCTTCAGAAGACATGCAATGTAACAAGACTTGTTTGTAATACTTTTATACTACTTTTTTGTCCGTTTTTGCAATAAATATCCATGACTGTACTTTCATTTGCCTGTTAGGTTTAGGATGGGGTGAGGTTAGGTGCTCTAAAATATCTATGAATGTATAGATGTGTATAAAATTATTTCTATTTTTACAAATTCATGCAAATAATTAAATGTGCTGGATCTGATGCATAAAGAATACAATTGAAAGCAATAGAGTACCCGTCGAAAAGTGACACTAAAGGGGTATCCTGAGCGTTAAAATGGGTCGCCAAGGGGTCCTGACCAAGCGTCAATATGTGTCGAGTTGGAAGTGAGAACATGTTGGTTTATCATAATGAACAAAACATGCATTATCATAAATATCTGTTGGTTACAGAGCTTATTTTCTGTAGTAATCCAAAATCCAATGGAAAAATCCAATTGGGTTTTTTATCGAGGGAACCAGGGCGATACAAACTTCTGGGTTGGCCTACAAAAATATACCATTACTGCAGTGCTCTATTATAGACCTCCATGATTGTGGCAGGTTTAAGGCTGAAAGGTGCTGTTCAAACTGTTTAAATGATAAGAGGGCCTGTTAAAAATTTCAGATGATTGTTTCTAACTGCCATTTTTGACGTTGAAGGCACAGACAGTATGTTTGAGGTACAAATCTGATAAGTACACTGCCATAACAGCTGGTCTTACTGTCTGAGAAATGCGATCAATGCT